TATCACCTAGGTGAGGTTTGATGAGATTTGGGAAGAGTGGGAAGTTATCCCCTCAGTTTATAGGTTCTTTTGAGATCCTTGAGCGGATTGGGGAGGTTGCTTATCGATTGGCGTTGCCGCCACAACTTTTTGGAGTGCATGACGTGTTTCATATTAGTATGTTTCAGAAGTATGAGCCGGATCCATCGTATGTATTGGATTGGACCGACTTAGAGGTAAATGAGGATGCCTTATATGAGGAGAGACCGATGAGAGTCTTGGATAGAAGGAACCAAGTCTTGTAAGGCAAGACAATTCCCTTGGTCAAAGTATTGTGGAAACATCACGGGATTGAGGAAGCAACTTGGGAGCGTGAATTGGAAGTCTGAGAGAAATATCTAGACTTATTTGTTGATGTTTGAGCATATGTTGAGATCCTAGTTTCGTTCATGAAATGTAAACACATTGCATATGTGTTAAAGTATGAAAACATTGTACATGTTGAATATGTTTTGGAAACGCAGGTTAATATGAACATTGTGTATGTTATGGATGTCTTGGGACCTTAGATTCAAACAAACATTACATATGTGTTGAAAATATGGAATATTATATGTGTTGTATCATTTTTGTAAACATTGTATATGTTGAATAAATTATGGGGACTTGAGTTGATCATAGACATTGTAAATGCTTTGGAAATATATGAATTGTAATTCACTATTGAAACTTGTGCATTGAGTTAGTGAGAATGGATGACCGTAAAATGAGTCATGATGATTGAAATTGATAGACTATCATAGTTGGCAATAATTTGAATGGCTTGGCACTTGTATTGAAATTTTGGGGACAAAATTCCTTAAGGAGAGGAGGTTATCGCGATCCCGGTTTTGACCTGACCTTTATTATATTCCGTACTCGGGTTTTGTGGTTTAATTTTGTTATTCATGTCTCTTTCCCTCTTTTCCCCTTCCTATTTGAGTATTGGAATGTTTTGGGCATGTTTGAGATAGGTTAGTGACTAGTTATTCAAATGGTTGTTGTCTAGAAATTTGCTTCTTCACACGAGCGAGGCTTCTTGCGCTCGAGCGAGCTTTGTGAGTTCCCAGCATTTTTACAAACCTACAGAGATTCTGGGAGGGTATCATTCTTCACTCGAGCGCGGCTTCTTGTGCTCGAGTGATGGTGTGCATCTGTAAAACTTCTGAAGGTATGTATTCTGTGCTCGAGCATCGCTTCTTGCGCTCAAGCGAGGTCACTTATTGTGTCTGATTGCTTGAGCGACAACTTCTTCGCCCGAGCGAGCCTCGTGTATATCAGATCGCAGCAGCTCATTTTTACACATAATTTTTGTATCTTTTCACTCAAAAACCCTAGATCGGCTCTTTCTCTCTCTAAAAGTTGACTTCTCTCTACAAATCCCCTAGGATCTAAGGGTCTCTCTGCCCTACTCCCTTTAATAAAGAGTTGGAGCATCTCAAGAGCTACCATTTCACCCAAATAGAGTTTGATTTCGTCACTTTTGAAGTTCTTCCTTTTCTCCTTTAAACTTCTATACTACACTTTGTTATGAGCTTTAACCTAGTTATTTGTTGTTATGTATAAATTGTGAGATTTGGGGTATTTTGGATAAACCTAGGATTTGGATTCAAATTAAAAAGATGGATTTCTATGTTGTGTTCTATGAATGAATATGAGGTTTTGAATATGAGGTTATCTTGGATTAGGATGGTATATTTTAACCTTTGGATCGATATTTGGTAAAAGGGAAAATTTGCCCTAATGTGTGTTAAATAATTATTTTGTATAAATAATGGAATTGGTATGAGAAATATGAAATTGGGAGGATATATGAATGAATGGTGTAGTTGGATTTGTTAAATCATTCGCCTATGAAAATTTGATGAATTATCTGTTAGAAAGATTGTATATCTGTTTAGAAATAACTGTATTGGGCTATCGGTGGAAGATAACTTTGATTGTTGTAGAAATTGCATGAGAATTAGATAAATTAAAACTAATCACTTAATTATGTCATTAAATATGACGATATGTTAAGGCATGGAATATGTATAATTGAATGTCATTGAATATGACGATTCTTGTAAATGCATTGAATATGTATAATAATTTGGGAGGAGAAAGGGGATGTACTCCATGTTTTAGGAGATAGGGGATAGACTCCATTTGAAAATTAAGTTGGCCAGAGTGTCCAGGGTGAAAGTCCCGAAATCTTATGTATACATAGGTGCCGATCCCGCAGACAAAATTTCCGTAAAATGGCAAGATTGAAGTGTTTATGTGATAGTTATGTTGATTGAAAACCACTGGGCTGTAGTCTCAGTTGGGTTATTCGGAAAAGTATAAATGTGGTCTATAAGTTAAAATGAAATGAACTAATCTAAGATAAATAAATGGGAATGGATCTAGATGTGAATGTCGGTATAGTGTGATCATGTGAAGAATGTGCATCTGTCATAAACATGGAATGTATCTGACACTTATATCTTAGTTAAATCTCATATATTGTGTTAGACTATTTCTACTGGGCTTTGGCTCACCCTAATTGGGAAACCATTTTGAGATACCAGTGACATGTTTCCTCCAAGGACGTAGCTGGGGAGGACTTAGGAGCTGGAGGCTCTATTTTGTTATTTTATGCTTAAATATTTATTCAAGCCTAGGGCTTTATATGTACAAAACTTATGACTCTCTCTTGTTGTAACCAAGTAATGTCTTGGAAAGATGTATGCCCGTCGGACATTATTTTGTTGTTATTAATTAATATTACATGCTATAGATTCAGGATGGACATTTATGAATGTATGATGCATGTAATATCTTTTGGAATACGAACTCTGATGAATGTATATACCTTTACTTTATTATATTCATTTCTCTTATGAATTGGATTATTTGCATTATTTTGGGGGCGTTACAAAAGAGGAGACTGAATATGTGATTGTTACTTCTATGTTGAAATTATTGAAAATATGATATTATGAGTTATATTTGTCTCTTGAAATTTTATATTTTTTATAGAGATAATTGTTTTGGCAACTGGTGGATGGTTGTATTGATTGTTGTAGAAATTGTATATGAATTTGGTAAAATTGAAATATTTGCAAATTCATGCATGGCATTGAACATTGCATAATTTCATAATTTAATCCTCGCATTGGATTTGAGAAATTGATTTTCAAATTGATTCATTGAGAATACTTGAAATGTGTTGAGTTATGAGGTAAATACGTTTAGTAAGTTCGGATAGTGAGTGTAGATTGGTATTGTTTAAGTTGGCCTGAGTGTTTAGGGTGAAATACCAAAAACACGTGCGGAGTAGGTACCACATGCCTTCCGGTTAGGAGCCGGTAAAGTAGAGACTGGTAGTGCTAGTTATGCCTACTTGCAGACACTAGCCTAGGGATTACCAGTGTCTTATTTTCCGCCCTTTGTTCTATTAAATGGATGATTGAATTGGTTGTTTTCGAACAAGTGCATGGCATGATAATTTCAAAACGAGAAAATTTATGATTTTGGCATTGGCATCTCATATGCATTGCACCTCATGATATTATTAAACTATGTGTATTTTATTTAGATTACCTTTGCTAGGCTTTATGCTCATCCCTTAATGGAAGCCATTTTTTAGGTGATTGTGGTGTGCTTCCGCAGAAGTGAAGACGTGGATGTTCTTTTTGGAGCGTAAGGCTCAGTTGTTTATTTGTTTTGTTTTGCAAGCCAACGGCTATTTATGTATGGGTTTGAAAACGACTTTGTTGTAACCAGGCAAAGTTTTGGAACTTGTAGTCATTAAGGTATTAATTTGTATTTAGATTGTTTTAACTTATTACTATTCAAAAAATGCTATAGACTCCAAATAAATTACTAAATAAATTACCAAACCTCTCACATGGGTGTGGGATCTACACACTTGTGATTTGTGTGGGTCCCACACCTATCTGAGAGGTTTGGTAATTGATTTGGTAATTTATTTGAAATCCTTAGCATAACTCATTACTATCACATGCTATAGATTCATATCTTAGGGATGATGAAAATATTAATACATGTGGTCACTCTTTTGTTAAATCTCATGTTGAATATTACTAAGAGAAATATGGGAATTTAGTATGAATATTGATCATTGAAATGCGTACAATACTCAATGTTTATGTATGTAAATAATTGGAAGTAATGGTATTTAGACTACATATATGAGTTAATCTAGATCTATCGGATGTCAATTTTTTTGAGACGCTACACTAGGTCATCCAAAACACATTGTGACAAAATTATATAACTTTTTAAACTCATTTGAAAATTTCAAAATTTCTGTAACTTTGGATATAGATTTTTGTTTTTTATAAAATTTATATTTTTTTAATCGTTTCATCAAGATCCATGATTAATACAAAATTCTAAAACAAAAAAGTTGTCAAAATTTTACGGATCTAAGACAAATCAGTGAAATTTCAATTGATCAGTAAAATATATAAATATAAAATTGAAGAACTTTTACAAAACCAACTGTAATAATTTAACAAATTCATATACAACCATGATTGTATTCATTTGGTTCAAAACATATAATATAAATAAAATTAATTTGGAACATTGAAAACAAAATTAATATATAATATTAATAAAATTAATTTGGAACATTGAAAACAAAATTAATATATAATATTTTGAAAGAATTTTATCTTGTTTTATGAAATTTAAAATATTTAAATATTAATCAAAACATAATTTATTTTATTAAAATATTCTAAGACTATGCACATGATTAGCTTCCATGTATGTACCAGCCTAATTAAAAGATATGCTTAGTTTTCCATGATGCTGTTTGTTTAGTCACTCAGCCTTTTGTTTTCTCGTTTTTGATTTATCCAATCTAAGTTTCCTTACTAAATGGGTATATACAATAATATTATTACATAGCCAGTTCTATTTTATCCTCTACTGGTAACCCATGCAAAAGTGGAAAGAATAAGAGGGGTGCTAGAAAAAAAACTCACAAGAATAGATTAATTGTTGCCAACGATTCAGGCGAATACCACTTGGGAATGCTGATGCCATTGATGCCATAGTTTTCAGGGCGTGTCTACCGTCGTGTACCATTGGCGTAGCTAATTCGGGATAACGACCAACCAAATGCAAGGCTATATCTGTTTGTCAGAAAAAAAGAAAAAGAAAAAGAAAAAGTTCTAAATATCATCAAATTATTTGACCAGGCACTTATGTGTTTTGTTTCCCCATGTTGCATGCTAAGTCTCAATTTGTTTTATAGTGGTGTTACTTAGACCAATTAATATACACACTAATGTACCAACTAGTGTTATGCTATTGAGAGGGTAATTTATGTGAACTGGGGCCGAGCTGGGTCCAGATGTTGAAGTGGACCGAGCTATGGGTCGAGGTAAATGGGCTACATAGCTTGGCCCTTGGTCCTGTTAGCTCGGTCAAAGATGGCTGCTATTAACCTAGTCTGGGTACTCTGAACCGAGGTAAGTGGACAGAGGACCGAGCTAGGCGATGCCCATGATAGCACCGAGCTGAGTGAGCGCGGTTAAAATTGGTGTTGGGCAGGGTAGTGTTAGCTCGGTTGTGCTGCTACCAGACCGTGGTGAAAACCATCTCACTTAGTCAAACAGTGAGTATGGTGTTATTAGGATAGGCATTGTCCTTAGGAGTGTGATTCCTATGAAGACTCTTATAAGGAGAGTTGGAGTCCTACTAGGATTGTGCCGAGGGAATCTATAAAAGCTCATGACAGGACTTACGTATACGTATCACAATTTCTACTCTAAAAAACACAGAGCTTTTTGCCTATTGTCTATTTGCTGACTTAGGCATCGGAGAGATATCTGGCACACACCCGCTGGCTAGCTCACGCTTGTGTTTTCAGAAAATAAAGCGACAACGTTTGGAGGAGTGCGAACTTGATCAACAGGATTATACGAGAAGATTATTTCGTACTCGTACAATTGGCGTCGTCTGTGGGAAAGAAACACAAAGAACAAGACCTTTTGATCAAGTTTTCCTCATTAGTTGAAACCAATGGCGCACAATGAAGATTTGTCACAATCTGCTATTGATGGGCAAACCCCGAAGGGGGGCGGGAGGCGTGAAGGTTTACCTTCTATCCCATCCATGGCAGAATTAGAACCCCAGTGACGGAACTCCCGGAGGGACACACGAGAGAGACAGGGCACCAGTCCTCGTCGCTCTCAAAGTCCTGAAAGGCAAAGGCGGAGGTTGGATCCTCAAGTTTTGGAGGATCGCGTGAGGGAGCAAGACGAATTAATAAGAAGAATGGCGGCAGACATGGAGACTATGAAGCTACAGATAAAGGAAAAAATGGTGGCGACGGAAGAGGGGCGCAAAGGCAACCTGCTCTCTTACCACTCGGAAGATCGTGACAGACAAGTCACACCATCACAAGCAAAAAGTAAGAGCCTCAGAATAGGCAACACTCAATCAAGGACTTCCAGGACTCGTTACTCCAAGTCTGAGAGAACGAGGACCGAAAGGTCGTATACGGAAGAACGCAGCTATCGGCCCTTGCAGACGCATCAAACAACATCTAGGCACATGGAGTTGCCTAGGTCAGCAGACCTACGAACAGTACTAGAGGAGAGGGCCCGATGGAAGGAGGACACCAGGGCTCACAACCCTCGGAGGGTTTCAGCCCTACAACGATTAGCCCCTAGGACGCATGGGAGTGTCGAGGTAGGGATGCCAATACCACGCCTTGCGTACGAACCATCAGATAAAGTGTTAGCAAGGTTACATAGCTCACCGTTCGTTCCGGCAATTGAGAACACACCACTACCCTCAGGCTTCCACCAGCCCAAATTCACCACTTATGAGGGGAAGTCAGACCCTTACATGCACTTAAGCCACTTTCGCCAGGTTATGGAAGTATACCGACGAAACGAGGCTCTAATGTGTATCTTGTTTCCTTCCAGCCTTGGCAAACTGGGTCTAACATGGTTCGAAAGGCTGCCAGAAGGCAGCATAACCTCATGGGCGCAGTTGGCAGAAGCGTTTGTGACTAGATTCAAGACGAATACCAAGACATTAGTGGAGATTGACCAGCTACTATCCATTGACATGGGCGAGAAGGAAACAGTGAGGTCTTACAACAGTCGATATTGGGAGACTTTCAACCAGATTGGGGATTGCCCTACAAACCTCACCATCGCCCACTACAAACGAGGTTTACCGGTTGGTAACAAGTTGAGGGATTCAATGACGATGATGCCACCCCTCACGATGGAGGCCCTAATGGAGAGAGTGCATCAACATATCCGGGTGGAAGAAGATAGCGCCCGCACTAAAGCAAAATCTGGCACAACAGCGATGCTGGATAAAAAGACTGCAGCAAAAGTCAACACGGTAGAACAGCCAAGCAAGAATGGGCGAGGCAGATGAGCCAACAGAGAGGACCCCCAAACATGGAAGTTAAGGGTACATACTGCCATTACCACAGTATTCAACAAACCAATCTACCGGATTCTTAGAGAGATACACGATGAACCCTTCATTCGGCATCTAAACAAGTTGGGAGAAGCACAAAGAGGTTATGATGAAAGGTACCGTTACACCTTCCATGATGAAAAGGGACACTGAACTCAAAATTGCACACCATTGGGGAAACATTTGGAGGAGTTGGTAGCCGCTGGTCACCTGGACCGGTATATAGAAGGAGGAACACAGACAGCCCCCAAAGACCACAGCAGGCTGAGCGAGATGCCAGTCGACGGCCCACCTCAAGGCATAATTAACGTTATACATGGGATCGTCGAACCTCAGTAGGTATGTGAGCTTAGACGGATGATCAAAAAGACTGAGCACTTGAGGGAGGTACTAAGTGCACAACCTACCATAAAAAGGGAAAAAACGGAGGCAACGAACGTCATACCCTTCTCAGACAAGGATCTAACAAGGCTACATTGCCCTCACAATGACGCACTGGTGGTCACTTTGCGTGTCAAGAATTTCGACATCAAACGGATTTTGATTGACCAAGGAAGCTCATGCGAGATAATGTACTACGAGACCTTCAAGCAACTAAAACTGGAGGACAAAGACTTAGCACCTGTAACATCTCCCCTCGTCGGTTTCAACTCAATGCCAAAATGGCCAGTGGGCAAGATAATTTTGCCAGTCAAGGCAAGAACAATGACAAAACAGGTGGAGTTTTGGGTATTGAAGGTTTCTTCCACTTACAACATAATCTTGGGAAGAGCATGGTTGCATGCCATGCATTCGGTGGCTTCAATCCATCATCAGGCATTACGGTTCCCCAACGAAACCGGAGTAATTGAAGAAGTCTTAGGAGACCAAATCATGTTAAAACAATGCTTCGTCATGGTAAATGGCAGCAGTGCTGTAAAAGGGTTTGTACAGATGGTGGAGGAGCTAGAAAGCAACGAACTGTTTGCAGATGTCGACAAAGCAGCCGAACAGAAGGCAGTAGAAAACTTGGTAAAGGTAAGGATAGATGAAAAGAACCCCGAAAAGTTTTTTTTGCTCGACTCGTCTTTGTCCAGCTCTGAGAGAATAGAGGTCATAGAATTCTTAACCTCTAACATTGAAGTGTTTGCCTGGACACCATACGACATGCCTGACATTGACCCAAATTTCATCTGTCATCAACTTAATGTCCATCCAACTGCCAGACCAATTATTCAACGAACTCGCCGATCGCCACTCCACCACGTAGAGATAGTGGCAGAAGATGTGGGAAACTTGCTGGAGGCAGGAGCCATTAGAGAAGTACACTATCCCAGGTGGATCTCCAACACTGTAGTAATGCCAAAGAAGAACGGCAAATGGCGCATTTGCGTGGACTACAAAACAATTAACAAAGCATGCCCAAAAGACAGTTTTCCCCTACCACGGATAGACCAACTGGTGGACCTGACAGCAGGGCATAACTGACTTAGCTTCCTTGATGCATATCAGAGTTGCCATCAGATCGCTATGTACGAATCGGACCAGGAAGTCACGTCATTTACAACACCTAGAGGACTATACTGTTACAAGGTCATGTCCTTTGGCCTAAAAAACACAGGGGCAACATTCCAATGGATGGTCACTAAGATGTTTGAACCATTGTTAGGCAGAACAATGGAGGCTTACATAGATGACATGGTAGTCAAAAGCAAAGATGAGAAGAACCATCTCAGGGACCTAGATGAAATGTTTCAAATTTTGAAGTCCCACAAATTGCGTCTAAACACATCTAAGTGCGCATTCGGCGTAGGGCCAGGAAAATTCCTGGGCTTTCTTGTGACCAACCGGGGTATTGAAGCTAATCCCTCTCAGATCGAAGCCATCCAAGATCTTGAGAGGCCCAACACAGTCAAAGAAGTACAGCATCTCACTGGCCTAGTAGTCGCGCTCCACCGGTTCATAAGTCAGTCATCGGATAGGTGTCGACCATTCTTCCAAGCACTGAATGCCAAATTTGAGTGGGATGATAAGTGTGACCGTGCCCTAGAAAGCTTGAAAGACTACATGACCTCTCCTCCGTTGTTAGTAACCTCGGTACCTGGAGAAGAGCTCTTTTTGTACTTAGCAATTTCACTGCATGCAGTCAGTGCGGTGTTGGTCAGAGCAGAGGGAATACAACACCTACATATCTTTTACATTAGCAAGACATTGCTGGGCACTGAAACAAGGTACCTGCCATTGGAAAAATTGGCCTTAGCTTTGATGATGGCTTCTAGGAAGTTGTCACACTATTTCCATGCCCACACCGTGATTGTCTTGACAGCTTTTCCCTTAAAGGCCTTGTTTGAGAGGGCAAATTTCTCTTGATGAATCTTGAAGTGGGCAGTAGAACTGGGCCAGTTCGATATCAAGTTCCAACCGAGAACCGCAATAAAAGCCCAAGCTTTGGCAGACTTTGTGGCCGAGTTCACACCAAGAAGTCATCATGTTTGCCCGATCAACTTAACCAGGGCAACCGAAAGAATAGGGGATAGTGCCGCAAAAATTGCGCAGCCCCTAAAGCAGGACGTTACTGCATAACAAGCCATCCAGGCTTGAGAAAAGGGAAGAAGGAACAGACCACAACACTGCCAGCAATGACCCACTAGAAAGTAAAGACTTGAGATAGTCAAACAGTGAAAATCAAAGCCCAACAGCAGACATC